ATAAATATTAGAACAAAAATATATTAACCAAATTTAATGATCATTCTTTTTAATGACTAAGGAAACACTGAGCCTCTTCTAGGCATTACTGTTACTCTAAGCATTATTATATCTGCTTAATGTTAATTGGAAAAAAACCTGCTTTATCAAAACTTAGAGTGCACAAGTTTATGAAAATCTCTCTCTAGTGATAACTGCTACCAACAGTTATTAAATTCATGTTGTTTTCAAGTACTTTGTAGTTTTAGCAAGAGGTAATCGTTATTTGATGACCAAGATGATAGCTGTAATTTAAGAAATGACCACGAGGTGGCATTCATGACAGGTTGACTGTGTCCTCCATGAACACGTTAAATAACTTAAAACTTCAAGAGAATAAAATCTACCCTAAACATGTTATACACACAGGCATATATTTTAATACTCATACTATATTTCATCTGAGACCTACCCACAGAGGTTTCCATTTTCAAAAGCTATCCATAAAATATGAACAGGAAGAGAAAAATCCATTTAAACATGAATCAAGTCTGACCTGAATCCTGGTTTCAAATTAATTTCCATTGACATAAGAATCTTGTTCTAAATAGCAACATTGATGATAAATGACCAGCAACAACAGAAATCCCCTAATGAGCTTCAGCAGATCTAGTCCTTCCTTCTCAAAAAGCAAAAAAGGTGCCTGAAATGAGGCCTTACTTTTTTCTTTCCCCCTTTTTTTTTTTTCTAAAAATACTATGCTCATTTTTTCCGTTTTTGTCTTTTAAATTGAAATTTGGCCTTGATAGAGTGGTGGGAAGAAACAGAAATGCTCTACATAGAGATGTGCCAGGAATTTATACAATATTAACATTAGGCTACAACAGTATGTCCCTAACTATCTGAAAATAAAGAGTATTAAAAAAGGAAAAAAGAGAAAACATGAGCTCTATAAAAAGTTGAAACCAAACACATAGCAACTACTCTGTATGCACAGCTTGGCTCCTCACCTGCTTTTGCATCTTACATTCAGAGTAAGGACCAGTTCCTGAACATGGAAGAACCTGGATGCCTGCAGACCAAAAGGAAAGGAGCCTGAAAGGAACTGCCCGCTCTTTGCCCGAGGACACTGTCCACAGGCAGCGGATAACAACCCTCACTGTCAGGAAACCACTTCTCTACACAGGCCATATAAGAGAGACAAAGTTCTCCAGCCTGGCACTGGTCTCCTTTAACTAACCAAGATACGTAAAAGCAGTGAGTTACTGTTCATAAAGTGGTCCTGGAACAAGGCTGCACTTTGGCGAGAGTCTCACTGGCATGGCTATCTCCACATACATCCCTATCCTCAGTGGATTCAGTAGTATAACCTGCACAGAACTGGACCCGTGATTAGCTAGCACTCTTCAGTGAACCATTTCAGATATGCTAAATAAGTGATAAACTGTATGTGAAGTCTAAGTACATGTTGATTTAAACCTGCTCAGGAGAGTCATTTTCCTGGAGACTACTTCCCGAAGCATTCTAAGAACTTGTTTGAAAGCCAAGAATTTGAGAATCCAAATAGAAACAAAGCGCGTTGCACTAAAGCATATATGGAATGACTTTTTGCTGAAAACACACTAAATAATTAAAGAAGGCCAAATAGAAGAAGAGATTGGATGAAATTCATCATAAACTTGCTAATAGAGGTTTGATGGAGGAAGGCAGAAACGCCATAAACAGGACGCAGTGTAATAAGGAAGGTCCCCCATTCAAAATCCCAGTCTGAGAAAAAGTAAATAGTCCCAGCTGGACCGAGAAAGACAGCCATGGCAACCAGAAACTTCATATGCGAGCAGCAGAAACTTAAGCTGGTCAGCTGCTACACAGCAAATCCATGACAATCCCACACGAAGAGTAACCCGATCAAAAGCTTTTGCTCTCTGAGGCCACCAAGATGTTGTGTTTTGCTACGGCCTGACAACAAAACAACACGTCAGAGGGATCAACATAAATAGTGTTAAGACTAATTCAGATGAGAAATAACACAGACAAGATAAGACTCTTGGCACCTCTTCAAGACACCATGAATCACTCTGACATGCTGAGAAATAGAGTTACACAACTTTCTCATTGAGACTCACATACATAGTTTTCTTTAAAGGTTTAATTGACTAAAAGACAACTTACTTAAATACATACTGACAATGATCCTTCAGCCTCCTTCTGTGCTGCCAGATAATTTCAAACTTCAGGACAGAACCTCAAAATATAATAGCCTTCTCTTGGAGGTTTTACATCCCTGCCTTGCAGACTGGGAAACTGAGGCACAGAACAATTAAGCAATTTGCCCAGGTTTACAGAGCAAACCATTTCTGTTACACAGAACAAGAGCCATCTTCTGAACCAATCCACTAAACCATTTCACAGCAGAACTCTCAAGATAACGTTAGAGAAAGGGATCAAAAGGAAATACAAATCTTCATTCCTCTTTGCACTAGCCCTCAAGCACCTCCTAAGCACCATTCAGCACATCCAGCTTGCTCTGACCTTTGCCCCTCCTACCCTAGTAAATAATTATTTTTGTTTGCATAGGTTTTGCTTCTGAAGCCTAATGTTTGACTTGCAAGTTTGCCCTGTGAATCAGCCTACACACAGTTAACCAAGATACTCTAACCATTCCAAATGTTACTGCACCTATTCTAACTAAATGATCAGACTTTTCCATAGGTGAACTATGGACCTGGTAAGACCAGTTGCTCCTTTCTACTACTCTTACTTTTCTTTCTTCAGAATGTGTGAACAACATTGTCCTGGATACAGCCTGTTATAGACAGCTCTGAAATGTCCACCTGTTCCTGAAAAGCTTGGGTTTTTTAAGTTCAAAAACATTAATCAACCTGTAGCTTTGTTCTAACTAAAAGGCATCCGCAAACCTACATAGACAAATTTAGCTCAATCATTCCCCAAACTGTCCCAGTGTCACTAGAATAATTTAAAATAAAATTAAACAAAACCCAAAAAACATACCTGTCACTTTTTTTAATTGTGATACTTTCCCAAAAACAAAGAGCATGCAAGTTTAAAGCTAGTCCTGTCCCATAAAATACCCTAGGAAAAGAGTTATCTTTTTTATCACTTTGCAACTTCAAGCTAGGATTTTGATGCCTCTCCACTCACTTAAAAAAATACCATGCGTATTCAATCTTTCTCATGTACAATTTTTTTCATCTCTGCATCAAAATTTCTTAATATTCTATATACCTTGTTCTTTTCCCAGCTAAACACAGAAAATAAATTAGTATGTAAGATCTCATTTTCTCCTCTAGTGCTGCAAAATATAAGGTGGATGTTTCCGAATGAGTAAGACATAAAAGGCAGCAACGCCGCACATTCAGATTTATTGACTTATTTATACAAGGAGCAATTCACAATCTCTTCTAGCACGTACACTACAAGCTGTAGCTCACCTGCTGCTGCTGGCTGCGCAGGTCCGTTATCTCTTTCTGATCCTCATCGTGAAGCCTCTTCATTTCCTCACATGACTGCTGGAGATGATTATGTTCACGCACCAACTGCGTGTTTTTCCTCTTCAAGGTATCCATGTCCTCCTTCAGCTGTGACTGGTCACTCAGCAGCCGGCTGTGCAACGTGCTGTCACGGCACACAAAAAAACGCTCTTAGGGGCCAACTTGCCAGGCCAAAGTCCTGGACTAATTCATTTCAAGCATGAGTTTTCTACTAAGAAAGCAGGTCAAACTAAATCAATTCTGCATACCTGAGTATTCCAAGTACCAGGGAAAAAAAAAATTGGAAACAAACAGGGGCATAAATAGGCAAATACACAAAAGTACAAAGTACTTAAACAGCAGAGATGACGGATTTGTACCACCCATCAATGTCATTTCACAGCCATTTTAAAAGCAGACAGACAATGGTATAATAGGAATTATCCCACTAATCGCCTCCACTTTCTCTTGGGCCCCTCAGCTGAGCAGCAGCTAACCAAAATACAGATGAAAACTACAAAAGTCTCCTTGTATGTTATTGCTTTAAAAACAAATAAACAAAAACCCCACAACCAATAAAAACACACTATGTATGTTTCAATTACACTCAAGCAGGTAAAGCGCTATCAAAGTTCTCCAAACTTCATTATGCAAGCCATAATTATTGAAAGAAACACTCTCACTTAAAAAACAACTGAGAGCCACATGATGAGGCTATTATTCAGATTAAAATTCAAGGTAGCAGTCCAAAATTAGACCAGACCACTGCTGGAAAAAAAAAAAGGGGGGGGGGGAGGAAATCAATTGAATGTATTTTACTACCACAGATCAAATAAAGAGTAATATGTGGATACTGACAAGTATTTTTGTTGTTGAAACAGAAAGATTGCAAATGAACTGTCACACCTGCTGGTAAAGTCTTTAAAGTCCATATATATAAACACACACCACCATATAACACACAGCATTGACTAGAATTTGCACTTTAAGATACTTTGTATTCCTTCCTTATAAAGTGATATACCAACGTTTCCTGCACAGAATGACTCAAAGCATTTAGGAAAACCAATCCTTAAAATTAGGACAACCTGTTAAAAAAAAGTCTTTAACAAATTATATTTGCACAATTAAATACACATAATCTTTACATGTAGGTTATTAATCTGTTATCTGTTATTCAGATTTTGTTGGAAATTATAAATTTTTTAAAGCATGGGGTTCTAAGAATTACTGCAGGACAAATAACATTTGAATAACATATTCTACTTGATCCATTTCTTTACCCTGAGAATTACTCATAGTATGAACAGGAATTGCATGCATGGGTTTCAATGTGCACTGTCATGTTTTATGCCACCTATGTTCCAACAGTGAGTTTCAGCCGCCCTAAAGTTTTACGTAGGAAACCAAATTATTCAAATCCAAGCAAAGAAGTTCTTATAATAAAAAGAATTACCTCTGAATCAATTAAAACACACTATACTTTCTTCTGACCAGATAATCTTAGTCTGTAGCAAGTGTAAATGTGAAAGCATGTACTTGTATATATGCATCATTTTGCACAAGCCTAAATTGTTGGTCTCTGAGGAACACGGCTATATTCTTCATATACATAAGTATTTCAATCATTCACTCTATCTTTTAAAACTCAGAGTTCTTCTCATATGAGAGGGTAAATCCTTTTGTACTGTCACGAAATTACTGAAATAAACACAGTGTAACACAGTATGGTTTCAGGGACTACAGAACTCTTAAGTAAGCAAACCACTGATTTTTTAGGATACAGAATACAAGTGTTTCACATCAGCATTGGATAGACATAGGTAATTCAGCTCTGAAATACAGAACACTAATGCTGTGCACAGAATTCACTAGCAAATTAAGTACTTGAAAATCCTCAAATGAAACTAGGAATAAAGCTCTTTGTAAAGAAGCCACACAACTTGCTACATCTGTACCTGTTGACAACCTTTAATGGTATCTGCAGGTTTTGGAAGAAGCATGTAAGGAAACAATGCCTATCTTTAAGGGCTTGAAGAGTTGTGAGTCAAAGTACTGTGTAAGAACTAGCAACCCCCCCAACGAAAACAAATGCTGTCATTAAATACTAGTCTTATTTTATAGCGCAGATTTATTTTTATAGCGCAGATTTAGCGTGAAATAAACTTCAAATGAAGAATTTATCTGCATTTCTATTTCTGAGCTGTCTTCCTTTCAAGTGAAGAAAACATGTTCCTACTTGCATCAAATGACTGTTTTTTAAATGGAAATGCACGCTAGAAATATGCTCCAATTTCTCCCTATTTTATTGCATTTTCATAAACACTTACAATTGGTCTAAGCCTGTGTTAACACTCACACAAGTCAGTGAGAGCTATCAAAACCTATTAAAAAACCAGTAACAAATGACATTCAAGTTATATTCTGCTCTCCAGCCTGACAGTAAGACTATTGGATTGTAATTGCAAGTCAGTAACTAGCCTTTCCTTGTCAGTGTCCCATCAAGACATCAGGGATTTCTGTCTCAACTTCTTCAAAATAAAATAAAACAAGCATTCCATACTTGATCTTTTCAAATAGGCCAGAAATATTTTATCTGATGCATGCAAACATTAATCTTGCGATTAAAGTAGAAAACAGAATAAAAAAAATTATTTGGTTACCGTGTTCTAATACTTTATGATCTAGCACAGACTGGTAAACTCTTACCTCATATAGCTTGATTAATACTTACTGATAAAAGTCTGCCTCTTTTGCTGCTTCTTCACATCTTTTTAGTGTCTTGGTGTGTTGATTCTGCAGAGACTGTAAGTCTGACATGGCCTTCATGCACTGAATCTTCAGTCTTTCATAGTCGTGATTTGGTTTTGGACTAGGTCTAGCATGGAAAAAGAATATGAAGTCAAGTATCAGCTACTAAAGAGAATGGAAAGTCTGGGAAATTACTATCCAATAAATAAACAGTATCACACAACTGTTCATATTTTGCTTTAGTTTAAATACTGACCACATCACATTAAGACGCAACCACAAATAAAAATTCACTGACTTTAACCTCTATTAGTTTTATACTAAGACGTAACATCTAATAATGATAATTCTGTCTAACACAGCCAAAAATAGTCCTGAATGTGCACGTACCTCTCTCCTGAGCAGCCGTATTATCACAGAGCAGAACTGTCACTTGATACAAGAACAAGTCAATCACAGTACTCTTGGCTTTCCTGTGCTACCATGTCAAAATTCTCAGAGAAAAAGCAGAGAGCTGCAGTGAGAGCGGGGATGAAAAGAGGCTGCCAAAGTCAAGTGGAGGCTGTGTGGAAACCTGGGCTAGGAGAAACTTCTCATCTAGGCAGTGGCTGGAAAACCTTGTCTACAGCTCCCTAGGAAAATCAGCACTGGGGTCGAGAGAAAGAATTTCAATGGGACACCAAGCGTGTGCATCTGTGCTGGCACAGTTTTACTGGTTTGACTAATCAAGCATTGAATTTACTAATTTGACCAAATCATTCTGCTGAATTACATACTTGATTGAATGTATTCTTTTAACCTACTATAAACGATGAGAAAATATGTCAGAATCTACCTCACACTTCCATAAGATAACCCAATTTTTGTTCAAATAGTTATTAGGAATCAACAATACAATATAATCTCCAATAAGCAATTTTCAGTAAGCTGAATGAAGTGAAAGCCAAAGTCAGTCAAAAGAAAATTTTTGACTGAAATTTTTTTTAATATATCAGGATGATTGAGAGAGGAGACATTTTCTAAAATAATCTACTGTGTCAAGTAATTGCCCAACATAAATTATGTCTACAATGTGTGGATTATTGCACATGATACCTTTATTTATTTATTAGAAAAATCATAAATCACACTAGAAACTAAATTAGCAGGATTACATCTTCTTGTTTTGAAGCATTAAGCTTCTAAAAGAGACTCTAAATCGAACTATTCCTCCTCTACACATTCACAAAATTTTTACACCATTGAATTCTCTAGTTTCAAAGCGAAGCTCCTGACAGCTGTCCCTGTGTCATCTCCTGGGTCTCTCATAACTCCATAGGCAATTAAAAAAAGGGGGGGAAAAAAAAAAAGGAAAAATGAAAATAAAACAATTGCTTTTTAATTTGACTTTGTTTATTCTCATATCAGATTTGTTCCGTTGCCACACAGAACACCCTTTCTCCCTCCCACCTCGCTTTCCCCCAAACAGCTTCGCTGTAAACGCAACCTGAAAAACAATCAGAATTCTCTTTGCTTCATACAAAAACAGCAACATGGATTCTGGAACTGAAATGCAGATGGCAATTGAATTGAAATGAAAATGTTTTCACACTGCTGCAGTGGTGAGAGTTGTTAAAAAAAAAAAAAAAAAAGAAAAACGCCAGCCACATGTGATTCACAGACTTTTAGAGAGTACGTGTAAGTTGCTTTTTAGCAACCCAGTTGCATTTGGGTTGCTGAGTAGTACGGCCTTCAATTGTAATTCCTCTTGTTCTCCTTCCTCCAGAAAAGCGATATTGGGAAAAACAAAACAAAAAAAATCCTTCCTTGATTGGCAGACTTTAGCAACAATTAAAAGCTAAATTCATATAAAGCTACCAAATATTCAGGTCACATCTACAGGGATGTCTTTTGGGGTTTTTTTCATTCACTGTTTTGGGGTGCCAAAAGAAGTAGTACGCTATTCGTACAGTGCTACAGACATATTACCACAACTGCTGCGGTGTTATTCTTTTAAACTACAACCCTAGTGAGCATAAGTAAAACTCAATTTGAAATGTTCACACCCTTGACAGAATCACTAAAAACCCAAGTATTGATTTAAATTAGACTTTAGGGTGAAATTATTGAAAGTAGACACCATCTGTCCACCACAGTCGTTAAAATGACAACATTAATCAAAGCACAGTTTAACTCTCAGTTGAAGCATTAAGCTTACTGAGACCCATTAACACATGTTCGTATTAAGCTTGTAATCATAATTTCGTATTTGTGCAAAATATTTCAGTGTATAAATTTTTACTAACAGACAACTATTAGGTCAGTCTCAAAGCTATGGCGAGAACTTGTTCTACAACTCTAACATCAATCACGTGTATTTCATACGTTGCTGGAGTAACACTAACATTATTCTAAAAAAAAAAAAAAATCCTATAAACATATGGATACCATGTAGGTACCTACAGAAGTTAGCCTACCTACACAATGAGGAATGAACAACACTGCCACCAGTAACTTCTTGCATTCTAGCTCAACTACATGAAATAGAAAACATCTGGATAGTCAAAGCCATATGTTCCACAGTGCTGTTCCAAGGGATTATGCCTCAGCAAGAAAAATAGGGATATGTACAGGAGGAATATTGGTCAGAACTAAAAAATAAACACAAAGCAGTCCATTCAGATGCATATAGTGGTTGACTCTTCTTTAAGTAAGACCACCACAGTTTTTTGCTAAAATGTCTCACAAAATACAGAAAACTATGATATCAAGAAAGGAGAGGTGACAGTTACTATTTTGGAAGCATTGGTTCAAATGTTAAAAAAAAATTGTAAATGCTAGTATCAAATGTCCAACTGTTTTTCTGATATTCACATAACTCAAAATCCTTTGTACTCCAGTGGAATTACCCCAAGCATAAAGACCACAGTGAGACTGACAGTTGCATGTACCTAATGCTGACATAAAAGCTAATGCCAACAGCAGATCCAACTTTGTGGGCAATGTTTACCCAACAACTTGAAAATATTTTCATTTACTATTGCAATTCCACCACCACCACCAGTTACAGATTACATATAAACCAGTCTCTTCCCAAAGGCAGTTTGCAGGAGTTTTATTTGTATTGCAGCTCTCTTCTACTACGACCTAAGTAGTAAGAATAGCAAGTTTAAGTCTATGAAGTGCACCTTGAGCCACTAAATTATTTGCTCAAATCTTTGCTTACTCACCACAGCACATGCATGCATACACTCACTGTCAAGTGACACAAGCCCAGCATGAGCAATCCTACTCCTGTCCAGCAGGATGACACATGTTCATCTGATTCAGCACATCACAATCCACTGCTGTGGCTCCTCTTCCACTGCTCTACACTTAGTCAACACTTGCTTTGGAAAACAGCTCTCGGTTTTGCAACTCCAGCCTTCACAGCCAGCACGGCCCAGCCTACAAAAGTGTTGCGAGCTGCAACTGTTGTGAAGCACACCATTGTGATGTGTCAAGATTTGCCCCTACACCACCTGTGTGTGGTACAGCCATGGTTCAAGCAGCCTAAGCACTCAGGAAGGCAAAAGCCCTTTTTGGGTCTTAAAAGTCATCATCTAAATGATGATCTTTCAGCTTTGACACTTCATTGTAACAGCTTTCAATGTCTGAGCTTTGACTCCTGGAAGGCTGAAGATTAGTTTTTTATGAGGAAAGAATTTCAAAACAAAGTAAAAAAACCAAACCAAACCAAAACAGCAAGCTTTCAAAAACCATAGATGTGTATGTGGATAGGAGAAGTAGTTGCTTTTATACTGAAGGAAAAAAAAATGTCAACTAATAACCTTCATTCATTTCCCATTCTTCAAATATTTAATTGGTTGGAAGGCAGCATCCTTCATCTAGCATACACTGTTCAAGCACTGCTCAAATGCAATGTTTATTTTGATGACTTGTTCTTTAAGCTGTAAACATTTATATTTTCTACAACATAAAAATCCTACACTGGCAAAAGAAGATTGATTTGACAATTAGAGAGAAAAAACTAGGGCAGTCTAGAGGACAGCTCATCAGAACTTCATTAATAGCATCCTGGATTACAGAGAACATTACTGTAAGCTATAAAACCCTCAGTGCCTAAGCTCTAGTGACTTCAAGTAAGAAATCTCTCTATATAAGAAAGTAACTGGAAGCTATGCAAAAAGATGTTGACATTTGACAACCTTTTCCTGTCCCATGCCCACAACATTTGGAGACCCTTAGATAGAACACAAGGCTCTTAAAGCAGCCCTCAGAACTCATGGGGGGAAGGAGGCAGCATTAAAATAGGAGGCTGAGTGAATAAAAAGCCCATATTCTCTCAATTCCAGTTCACTGGTTCAAATCTCGACATAAGGACACAAAGTTTACCTAACTACCTGACCATGCACAGATAGAGCAGGTGAAGTAACAGATAGAAACAACAGCAAATAAAACATTAAAGTACAGAGAAGCTATGCACAATGGCAAAACCTCCCAGAAAATCTGTTCTTCGCTTTTATTTCGGCTTTGGTCCATCACTGTTTTTCCAAGGTTCAAAAATTTTCTCTTTCAAAGCTACATTTATAAACATTAGCAGATCTTTAACGCTCTAAAATAAACCAATAAACCAGTTTCCTACCCAATAAAACCCTTATCTACCATTAACTCATACACTCCTTGAGTAATATCTTCCTCATAACTTATCAACCCTCAAATTAGAATGAGCTGCATAAGGCTGCTGGCCATTAACTGACTTTGAACACACGTTATTATAATTTGGCAGCACTCATAACTTCTCAGCAGAGGAGAGTTCCTTACTCTCAACATGTTAATGCTACACAGTCCCTCAATATATGTATACCAGAAAGCATATCCTCCTAAAAAACACTTACTCCCCTCAATGGAAGTCCAAACCCCTCTTTTTCCCTGCAGAAGCACAGGAATAGCTGAGGTTTTTTTTCCTCTCCTAATTTTTGTCCTTCAGCCAAGTATTGAGAGCTATTTCCCTTTCTTCTCTCTTGCTTTCAAAACAGCAAATGCTTCACCACGGTCTTCTTTCTCTGCCCACAACATAACACAGGAAGTCTAAACAACTTGTTTGCTTTCTTCTCTCAACACAGAGATGAACCCTACTCCCCTCATTCCCACAGCAAAATTGCTGGAGGAAGTGGGAACAGGCACTCAACAGGCAGCTCCAAAACCTGGATGTGGTCACCTACATACACACCCACCACCAGGACGCAGGTAGATTACAAGCAACATATATACACTGCAATATCCTTGCTGCTTTACAGGCAAGCAGGAGTCACGACACTTAAAAACACTACCGAGAAGTAAATTCAAATATTACATTTCCTTTATTTTTACCTGCAGTCATCAAAAGTTGATCCAGGAGATGAAAGTGCAAGTCGCTTGCGCAGCTCATCCCTCTCACGAGTTACCTGACGGAGCTGATACAATATCGTCTCCAGCTTCTCACTCATCTGTCTCGTGTCTATTACGGGTGGTGGAGATGATGCTTTACCAGTCGTACCTGACCAAGAGAAATAATTTGCAGTCAGAGAACTCCTCAAAAGAACAATGCAACTTCACCAAAGAAGCTAACACAATTTTTAAAAAATCCCATAGTTTTGGATGCAGAAACATGTTCAAAAATGAAACAAATCACGGAAGCTGTCATCAGTGACTTGACACAAGGATAATGCCCAGTCAGACCCCATGCTTGCAGAAAGGCCCTGTGTTGCACATTAAGTTTGCATGAACTTAGAAGTTGCCTAAAAGGCAAGTTTGCAGTCATAGTTACAAAGACCTCAGAAACTACCACAGTGACAGATGTCATAGGTACAAAGCTATTTCCAGTAAAGAACCACATCCTTGTTTCTTAAAAAAAAAAAAAAAAACAAAAACCCAAAAAAAACCCCCACCAAAAAACCACACACAACCACAAACGTAAATTCCACCCACATCAAATTACCCCAGCGATAGCAGAGAAAGAGTTACAGCACAGGGGCACTTTTCCTGTTCCTTTGTCTAGCAGCACAGACATACTATTCTGCTACATGCTACTGCCAACATTTATTTTTAACGCAATTCTATGCTTTCACATGGCACAGTTTATCAGTCCAGTATGTGAAGTTAAAGATTTGACTTGCCAACAAATCACGAGAAAGGAGCTTCCGTTCTAACAACATTGGCTAAAATGAGCACATTACCATCACTGCAACTGGACTACACATCAAATTTCCTCTAAGGGGCAGTCATATATTAAAAAGCTTCACAGTATATTTTAATTCTCAGCTTTCTTAATATCAGAGATGAACGATGATGCCTACTGTCTTCCCAGACAGTTCTACCAATACAAAGATCTCTTCTTCCACCTGAGAGATAAAAGCATGGTATACTATGTTTCACAATATGCTGGCAATTAATTCAATTGTATTTTTAGTTCTGCCCGTTTTAATCCCAGGCACATGAGAGCAAACTTAAAGATATAGATGGCGGATGTAAAAGTCAAAGGCCTAAATTTATACAGAAGATTACTATTTTTTACATAAAAGAGAAATTCTAGAAATAGTTTGGATAATTATACACTTGAAACAAGTTGCTGACATACATATTAACTTAAGATAAACCTTTATTATGCCTTTTTTTAAATGAAGAAACAAAAGATACAATAGTAAAATAAGGGTCTTTGATCACTGTCTTTTCAAAGAAAGAATTTCAAACAAAGTAATTTCATCTAATCAAATGCTAAAGAGTTGCAAGGATTGGCTTTTTATCTCTAAACCCAGTTTAGGAAGATATTGCAGAATGCAAAAACTCCCTCCAACACTTTCAAGTAGAACTACCTGTGCTGCAAAGTTCCCACACCAAAAGAACTGCAGGGTTGGGTCTATCATACATACAGCATCTAGAATAGTAGGATCCTTGTTCTTATTCCTTTCAGCTGTTACTGTAATTCTATAATGAGAATTTATGAGCACAGACTGTTCTTTCAATCTAACTGTTGCATAATAATGTATGTAAATGCTCTAATAGCAAACTGAAGAACTACAAAAATGGCAGGAACAGCCTGCATTCTCTAGAACGACACAAACTCACATCGCTCAAAAGAATTCTCAATGAGTGCTGCATTTGGGCTTTCTCCTACCACTTTGCTTCACTCCTCCATCCAGATGGAGCTCCTCCATCCATAACGACTAAGGATCTCAGACTTTTGAAATGCAGTCATCCTTTCTTTTTCTAAAATAAGAACCATTCTACATAAATTTTAAGGCAAGATTATACAGAAATCAGTAATAACACAAGTGCACTGTCCTAGGCTTACAATATAGGGAATAAACAGGGAAAAACAATTGGACAGATAAAAAAAGCCAGGATATGTATTCATTTGGAATAGTTTGGATACATTAATGAGCAAGGAATTTCATAAGCAAATGAAAAGGTAGAGGCAGACAAAATTCAGGTGCTGACAGGCTGCATGGTCTTGGGTAAATTCAGTGGCAACCTGTACATTCTCTCACTCAAGCTGACATATCAGAATATGAGTAACATTCAAAAAGCCCCCTTCTCATCCTTACAGAAAAGTTCAAAAGTTTATCTGTCATCCCAGGGCTGCTTGCAACCAAAACAGATGAATAAGATGTGAGGGGCACAAGAGGAAGGAGGAGATAAATCCAGTCCTACACAGGTGTGCAATGGCTGCTCTGGGAATCTACAACATAGTAAAAGGAGGTAAGAGTTATACCTCTGCTCCTCCACCTCTTCCCCACCCCCAGCTTTGACAACATCCCAGTGACAATCTTCCTCAGGCGAGGAGAACATTTGTGCACACAGACTTAAAACTGTGCCAAGCAAGACAAGACTGCTTTCAATAAGGACAGGCTAATTAGCCCTAGGAAAGAAGCTTTCTTGACTAAAGACATTCATCTCAATACCAGAAAAGGTTATTTTTCATTAACTTGTCACTTTTTACAAGTACATCAACAAATTCTTTCATCTCAAATGCAATGATATTGTTGTCAACGCATAATACCAGCCAAGAGATGTACCCCTCTTAAGTGCTATAAATACACAGATCAATACGATCCAGATATTCCCTCTCTTATCCTTAAAAGAAGTCCAAAAAGTTTGTCTTTGCTTGATTTACTATCAACCTTACGTCTTCAGTAGCTGCACAAGAGGTGTCATAAAAGTTAAATCAGATTTGTGGATGGTCAAAAAAAACCCCAACCAAACCTAAAAACTTAGTAAGCTCATCTTTCATCAGAAAAATTCAATACTTTTCATTTCCTTTCAAGGGGCTTTAATATGTGAATGCTAAAAGCCTCTTATTGCATCTGGCATCCTGATGCAGTAGAAGCAAAGTGACCTATGCTTCCAGCTTCGTATTCTTTTTCCATCTGACTGCATATTTTACACAACAGTACTTCCTTTCTGAACTTTGACCAGTCAAACTGGTCTTAAAATGTACCAGCCTAAAGGCTAAATCTCCATTACCCAAATCATGCCACCTTTCAGTAACTCACCTGCTTTCTCAGACAACCTGGATTTGTGAAAATGTATTTACTGCATGTCCTGCCAAGTGCAACTCACTCTTCTGTTTCGGTAAGCCTCAACTCATTTTTTTATGTGAGCTGCACTTGGGCTCTGAGAACCCAACCGCATGGACGTCACCTGCCCAGCCGGCCTCTGGGCAACCAGCGCTCCACCAGCGCCTGAAACAGCCCGACAGCCTGGATGCATCGTGCTGGCAAAACATGTTTTGCCCATGATGCAGTACATGCATTAAGTCCTGAGTATGCACTGGCTTAACCTACAGCAAGACTTGGCAGGATTTCCATCATATGTTGTATAAAAGAAAAGCCTTAAAAACAGTTGGAACAATCACGTCTTCCATAATTAGAGCCCAAATGCTGGACTTAGCAGAAACCACAGCGATCCATTATTGTAGTACATACCAAATACAATTCTGGATGATTACTCTAATCATCACTGATTGAAGAGATAATACAGCCACACGGAAACCACTACTCAGTTAGCTTCATATTTGGGGATGGGGTAGCAGACTTTTTGAAGAAAAAAAGAGAACGTTAGAAGAAACAGGCGTGGGAAACTTGTTGAACTGACCAAGATGTACCATAATGCCGAATCAATATAACAGTGAGGTGGGAAAATGGGTACCAATGCATAAACTGCTACTTTTAAGAAATACCATTAGCATATTTTTAATTCTAATAAACTCATTTCTCTTTGACAAATACACTTGTATGGCAAGTTCAACTAATTCAAAAGGCAATCTGTCACAAGCTAACAGAATGCCTGAATTTTACAATGATTTTTTTAAACTCATCTTATGAATTTGCGCCAATTCTTGCTTGCAAACAAACAGGAGACTATTCATTATACAATCAAGCCTTTTTCATTGCTTTCTCTCATAAAAAAGTAAAATCAACAAGGATGTTGATTTCAGAATATTATTTCTTTATGGCCTTGTAAATCATAACAGAAAGTGTTAAAAGAAGACTTGCAAGATATATTGCAAAACATGATCAACAGGGTTTTTCCCCAAGCTCAGGAAGGGCTGAGGAGTAAAGACTTATGCCTGCTGTAGGAAAATGCATGCTAAAATATTTACTTTCTTTCAATAATTTACGAGGGCTAGAACAGGATTACATATCAGAAGTTATCATTTAGATACATTTCTTCAGATACATCTTCTGAAGTTGTCTTGAAACAGCATAGACCAGAATTGCATGTAGGTGAAATAAAACATTAGTAAAAACAAGCAGCAGCACACTGAGGAAAGGAAACTGAAAACTGAAATAATGAACTGTGGAAACAGTTTCATCTGACAGACAGAAAACCTACTAGGTTATGAAAGCAGTGCGGATCATGTAGCATGCAAGGACAAAACAATGTGTAGTACTTCAGTATTTGTTTTAACACAGAATATAAAAAGCTAAATAAACCCACCAGCATGTAAAACAAACTTTCAACTTCAGTAAGTTTGAAACTTTAGAAAGAACCGAAGAGTGGTTCTAGAAAGATCAATATGAAAGAAAATCTACTACAATACTCAAAAACAGTGGGGGGGGGGGGGA